ATCCACACTGCGCTGACCTATGACAGTGATGTTGCTGAGGTCAGACAGGGAGGCCGGTTGGACTGTGGAGATGAAGCCTTCAGTAAGCAGCAGAGCCTGAGTCGAATCTGGAGCATCTGGTCACACAAACACACACACAGCAGCAGCATCATGGGTCACATACACTGCAAACCATTTCATATTATACCCCAGCTTGTTTTCTTCATGCTATATTACAGGATCATTTTGTTAGTTTAACTCTGTAAAAAAAACATTTACATTAATTGAAGTTTTTCCCTTTCACTGTTTCTCAACACCGTATCCTTGTCATTTAATTTGTTTTATTTTGACAAGAATTTACAAATAAAGATCACTATTATTATGTCAAAGTGAAACAGATTTCTACAGTGGTGTCAATTCATTAAAAATATAGAATGTAAAATAAGTGATTGCGTAAGTATTCAGCCCCTTTAAACTGACTCATCTAATGTAACAAAGGTTCAGCCACAAAGTCACACAGTCAGTGAAATGGAGATGAATTAAGTGAGTGACTGCAGTGATGGTAGCATAAAAACACTGAAAGTGTCTGGAAGGTTCAGTCACTGGTGAATCAGTACTTCTGGCTGTAATTACACCATCAAGAGAAAAGACCACTCTTAAGTAACTCTGTAAAAAGGTTATTCATAAGCATGAGTCTGGGGATGGATACAAGAACATTTCAGTCACTGAATCTCTCTTGGATTACAGTTACATCAGTCATGAAGAGATGGAAGGAATATGGCACACACATAAACCTGTCCTCAAAAACTGAGTGACCGTGCAAGAACAACACTGATGAGGGAGGCCACTAAGACACCTACGACTCCTCTGAAGGGGTTACAAGCTTCAGCGACTGAGATTGGAATGAGTGTGCATACAGTAACTTTTGCCCAGGTGGAGAAGAGAAAGCAACGTTCAGCAGAAGGCATGTGGGAAACTCTGGAGTCAACTTAAAGAAGGTTCTTCATGAGGCTTTTTGATGATATGCTATGTTTGGTGAAAACAAAACACTGCACATCATCGCAAACACACCACAGTGAAGCATGGTGGTGGCAGCATCATGAGGTGAGCCGCTTCTACACAGCAGCTATTGGAAAGGTTGTCAAGGTAGAGGGTGAAATGAATGCAGTAAAGAATAGAATAAGAGGATCCTAGAGGACCTGATGCAGTCTTGAACAGAACTGTGACTTGGATAAAGATTTGTTTTCAAGCAAAGCCAGGACTTGAAGCACACATTCAAAACTGCACACAAATGGTTCAAAGACAGCAAGGTCAGAGTCCAGACTTTAGTCCAACTGAGAAGTTGTGGCTGGGCTTGAAAAGGGCTGCATCTACTAAACACAAACTCAAAGGAGGTGAATACTTGTACAATTGCTTATTTTAGGTTTTATATTTTTTAATTGATCAGCATTACTTTGTAGAAATCCGTTTTACTCAATATAAGATGGCTTTTGCTTTATAAATTCTTGTCAAAAAAAAAAAAAGCTAAATTACACTCACCAGGATTCAATGCTGAAAAGCAATAAAAGGGAAAACTTCCAAGGCTACGCTTGTAGCCTGTGTGACTTCATTCACTGATGGTGTGTGTTTTACCTATAATGTGAGCCAGTCTTTGACAGATGACAGCATCCTCAGAACAAACCACACAGGAAGCAGGACATGGAGACACTCGCTGGGCTCTGATGACTGGCAGCAGCAACATCAGCAAAACACCTGGAGACGAAACCTTCTTACTGCCTGATGTTGGCGTATTTTATCTGATGTTTGTGATGGAAACCCACTGTGTGTAACACTCACTGGTCATGTTGTGTTACAGTGGAGGCAGCATGGTGATGAGTCAGCATCTCTTCCACGGGGCTGTAACCTGATGCGCCTTCATCATTGTCACCGTCATCATGTGTTTGGCCTATGAAAACACATTATTGTAGAAACACAGCTTCAGTTCTGTTATGGCCTCACACAATAGGAACAAGTAGGTACTGGAAATGAATGGGTGATAGAAAGATGTGTTTGGAGCTGTGATTGCAGTTCGTGTTTGTAAATTGAAAATTGTCAGTTACCTCCATCACTAACAACAATCAAAACCAGCAGCAACAGCAATGTTAGTGCAGTTTCTTCTGTAAATTTGTGGCACATTGTATATAAAATGCATAACAATCTGCATTAGGTCTGTTAACAAACTCAGGACAGATATACGCATGTGCCGCTAAATGTCATGTGTAAATCTGATTTGACACTTTGCTCTGGTTGCCAGGCAAACAAGACAGCGATGAGTGTGTTGGCAACTCACCAAAGTGACTGTGTGTGTGTGTGTGTGTGTGTGTGTGTGTGTGTGTGTGTGTGTGTGGTATCATCAGGGGAGGTGGAGGTTGTCCCCAGAGGATGCTGACTGATGGATGACAGCCAGGCTTTGTAGCAGAATGAGGCCTATCATGTTTCTGCTGAAGCTCTTCTGCTAATGGACTTTTCCTCTGGTGAGTCTTTGATGGACAAATGTGAGGTCCTGCAGATTATCCATAAACCAGAATGACCAACCAGAGAACAACTTTATTACAAAGTACGGTGGTGCAGCTTTTATTTTTATTTGTCTCAGCGTATTGGTGATTACGCAATGACTGTATGCATGGACGGATTAGGAGACAATAGGTCCCCCTGCTTGTCCTACAGTATGTAGCAGCATGACATCCACACTGGCAGCATTGTTTGTTGTCTTTGTGGTCATTTTGCACCTCTTAGTAATCATTGTGCCTCTTTTAGTGGTCATTTTCAATTTCTTTGCTGTTATCTTGTTGTTTAGGGTGTTGTGGCAGTGTGTTGCTTTGCTGGGTTTGCGCTTGTTGTTGGTGGTTGTTTTGCACATCT